GGTAGACACGCAAACAATAACACACGCAGACTATTCAACATAATTCACCAAGCAACACAGACCACAGAAGAAACAATAATAGCTTCTTTAGATGCCGAAAAAGCATTTGATCACGTAAACTGGACATTTTTACTTGCCACACTTCATAAATTTGGATTGGGAAAGTCATTTATCACCTGGGTCAAAACACTATACAACTCACCAAGAGCAACAGTCACAGTCAACGGTCTAACGTCATCAAGCTTCACACTGCACAGAGGAACAAGACAAGGATGCCCACTCTCTCCCTCTATATTTGCAATATACATCGAACCACTTGCTGCAGCAGTCCGCCAGAATAATCTCATTAAAGGTATACAATCACCCAACGTAACCCACAAGATAAGTTTATATGCTGACGACGTCATACTCTACCTACAAAATCCACAAATCTCACTACAAGAAACAATGAATCTTTTTTAAAAAATACTCCAAAATCTCTAATTACTCAATAAACTGGACCAAATCGACACTGCTTCCAATCTCTGTAAAGAGGTGGAACCCGGCAGCCCTACCACTACCAATTCCCTCCACCACTGAAACTATAAGATACCTAGGCATCAATATCTCCCCCAAATTGTCAGAACTTATACCATTGAATTTCAACCCACTTATCAGAAATATAGAAGATGACACGACCAGATGGATGAATCTACCGGTATCACTCATAGGAAGAATAGCAATCACAAAAATGACCATACTTCCCAAAATAAATTACCTTTTCTCTATGATCCCAGCATGTCCACCCCCCACATTGTTCAGTTCCTTAAACTCAACAATAACCAAATTTTACTGGAAAAACAAAAAACCTAGAATAAAATTAACCACACTTCAAACACCCAAAAATACCGGAGGACTAGATGCACCAAACTTTTATAACTACTTCCTGGCAAACCAGTTACAAATCATAACAAAATGGATACACCCCACCGAACAATCCTACCCATGGCTAGACATAGAACAGGAACAATGCAAAAACATACCCATATCAACCATACCATTTATCAGCACTTCAATTAAACGTCATAACTCCTTCAAAAATCCTCTCATTGCTACAGCCCTAACAGCATGGTGGAAAGCCCACAAAATAATGAACACAACACCCACACCCTGTAAGAACACACCAATATGGAATAACCCAGACTTTCTTCAAAACAAAACACCACTGAATCTCACCACCTGGAAGGACAAAGGCATCACCCAGCTTCAACACATAATTCAAAACAAAACCTTCATCCCCTTCAATTAAATAACTCAAAAGTACAATATAAACAATAAATCTCACTTCCAATATCTCCAAATCCAATCTATCATAACACATAAATTCAACCTCAAACAAGACTACATCGAAAATTGAACACTAGCAAACACAATACTAAAACTCTCAACACCCACTAAAACTCTATCTAAACTACACAAACTCATAAACATTGACCATACAATATCTCTCCCCACAACAAAATGGGAAAAAGATCTATCAACAACAATAGACCATGACACCTGGAATATAATCTGCAATAATACCTTCTCAATGACAAATAAACCTAACCTCCAACTAATTCATAACTGCTCAGTATGCCCCCCTAACACCCTGGATGACTACATGCATGCAATCTGGCAGCAATTCTGGAAACAAATCACAATTAAACTCTCTTCAATACTGAACTGCCGGGTTCCACTCTCCCCTTCACTATGCATCCTAGGAAACACTCTTTCAATCACACTTCCCAACAACCAAAAAAACACAATACTCATTGGGCTCACTGTCGCCAAGAAAGCAATCCTCCTCAACTGGAAAAGCAGAAAAAAACTAAACACCTCAGTATGGATAGACCTCTTTGTTGAACATATCACCATGGAAAAACTTACAGCATCCATCCACAATAAAACACACCAATTTCTGACAACTTGGGAGCCAATCCTCACCTCACTACTTCCCGAACAACATAGTCCAAACCCCTGATATTCATTACCACAAATATAGACTCATACAAATACACACACACACACATACACACACACATAAAGACACATACACAAAGACACACAAAATTTTTTTTTGTTTGTTTCCTTTCTGTATAACTATCACAATTTATTTATGAATTTATTTTCCTCTTACCATCAAATTTAATTTTTTCTTATTACTATTATTATTATTATTGTCTTTAGCCACCATTTTATTATGACCTATTTGTTGATTTATTTCCTCTCCCCCCTTATATTCATCATCAAAAATTGTCATCACAGCCACTCTCATTTTTCATGCATTTCTTTTTATTTATTTATTTATTTTCTGTTTCTCCAATCCAGATGATTGTCTGTTTTTCTTTGGTTGCCTTGCTCTTTTTTATTATCATTTATTTATTTAGTACTATCATTATTATAATTATAATTTTTCTCTTTTTCTGGTATTAGTGGTATGTTGAGGGGGATGAAGGAAGCAAGATAATGAGAATTAAAATGATACACTAGAAAATCATAGTCAAACAATCTGGACAAATTACATTATTATTACGACAACATGATCTGCACTATTTATACTACTGTCATCAGTACATAACCCAACAACACACTTCACATGCAGCTCAAATCCTTCAAATCCGTGCCTTCCCCAGTCACTACAGGTGTGCCCCAGGGCTCTGTCCTGGGGCCCCTTCTCTTCATCACCTACCTTCTCCCCCTTGGCAATATTTTCCGTAAATTCAATATACTTTTTCACTGCTTTGCGGATGACATCCAGCTCTACCTCTCCAGTAAACCAAACTCCACACTTCCACCCTCCTCCCTCACTTCTTGTTTATCTGAAATAAAATCCTGGTTCTCCTCAAACTTCCTTAAATTAAACAGTGATAAAACCGAGATCCTTCTCGTCGGCACTAAATCCATATTATTGCCCCCCCCCCAATGGTCCATTAGCCACTTTTTTTTTTTTTTTTGTTCTTTTTTATTTTATCATTCCTCAGTTATTCTAGTTTTCTTCTTTCCCTTTGTTTTGAATATGCTTTCTAGCCCATCCTTGTTCAAGCTTGGCAGGAGGGTAGCAGTAGGCAACCCTATCAGCTGGTCCCCTCTGGGGGCAGCTGAGACAGGGGCACCCCTGCACCACACAATGACTGAAGTAAAAAAAAAAAAAAATGATAATATAGAAAGAAAGAGGGTGAGGAAAGGGGAAATAAGAGAAAGGAGGAGAAGGAAAAGAAAAAAGAAAATGAATGGGAATAAAAAAAGAAAAAAAGAAAAAAAAGAGAAAAGAAAAATGGAATGAAGGAAAAAAGAAGTACAAAAATAGGAATAGGGGTATAGAGGAAGGGAAAAAGGAAAGGGAAAAAATAAATAAATAAATACAAGCATACACTCGAATTACACACACACACACACACACACACACACACACACATACACAAGCAGGGCCCTTCAACACCCTCAACATACAAAATTGCAAAACGTTATTATTACTCCCTGCTTGTCTGTTTTGTCTTGTCTTTGTCTATGCTGTGCATTGTATCGCCGTGTCTCCCCTGTCTCCTACATACTTTTGCTCTTGTCATGTCCCTCACTTGTCTTGTATTGTTCCGCATCAACTAATAAAATTTTTTAATTTAAAAAAAAAAAAAGTAATAAAGCCTCAGCTGGCTTAAAACATTTCTGATACCTCCTCAATAAACATAGCCTTACCCACCGCTAGGTCCCCCAGTGTGAATGTCGTACAAGTACAAACACTAGAGAACCTTTTTGAAGAAGAGATGGACTTCCCAACAGGTAACACCTGGTTACAATGGGTGACTTACACACTTACAACAGTGTGACTGCGCCCTTACACTGGCCATCCGTACCGTGCCCAAGCACGCTTCAACGCTAAAGTCCAGTTCGTTTGACCAGTGTGACCACTCCGATACAGTGCAGCAAACTCAAGACAATCTTTGAGGAGGGAGGGCGGACTTTAACTTCATTTTATTTTAATATACACTAATGAATATTTTTTTATAATATATTGATGATGTTTATCAATATAAGCCCCTGAAACTTGATCTGTCATGTAAAAACTATTAGTGCTTAATATAATTGAAAGTAACTCAACATTGCCCCCTTCTGCTTGATGAATACTTCTACATTTTTATTGTTTGCCTTTTTTATTTACAAGAAACATAAACATAAACATAACAATAAGTACTTTTACGTGTGCTTAGTAAGGATGCAGTACGGATATCACATTTTTAACAAAGACTGAGTACTGATAATGACCTGCTTGTCACAGCCAGTAAAAATAAGTTATTTCACATATGTAACATTCATCCATTATCCATTTCATCATTGAAGCTACACAAACAACTAAACTGTACTTTAGGGTACTTTGAGCATGCTTTAGTATTTTTGCTACTTTTTTGCTTTTCCTGTAACTGACGCTTTGGTTATTTTTCAAAATAAGTAGTAATAAGAAGTCTCTTTGCTCTAATGTAAGGCTGTATTATTAACCAGCAAGTTGCCTATAATTGGCTACTGATTAATCCAATAATCAACTACCTATGGTGTGCTTTACCTCCAGATGAGAACAGCTGTACAGGTGTTTGTGGGCATGTTTGTAAAATCTGAACAGGACCTATGGCCTAAAATAGGAAGAGGGGCCTGTGGAAACTTGATCCCGTCTTCTACATCAAACCGAAAGTGAAACTAAATCAGCAACATTATAGCTGTTGCATGCAGTTGTATTTGGCTTTAACCAAATAACCATAATGGTACGGAGTTCTCCGACAGCAGTTGAGATAACCCCGTCTGACTCACGTGGATCACCTGGTTGACACACCTCAGATCATTACGCACTATTATATCCAGATCTGTTTTACTTATCTGTTTCTGTAAATGAAAACGCGTTCTTTTAATCATTGATACAAGTAGATATACCTGAGGCGCAGGTAGGCTAGAGGTGGATCACACCTTCGCAAACACACGTAAGTCGGTCTTACCGCGCGCTGGCCTCTATGGCATGTGGTCTGGACGAGTATCACCGGGGGCACCGTCATGACGTCTGTCATCTGCGTAGCGGCAGCGGTTGCTGTCCGTCCCAGCGGGGATCACATTTTTGCATGTCTCTAAAGCTCCTCAGTCTCACTGATCTGTGTCCATATCTTGAGACGACACCTGAGACAAGCGCGAGCGCAGTCAAGATTTCGCTCCAGGCAGAGAGCAACTCAAACACGCCCTGCTGAGCTCAAGTTACTCCTCCCCTGATGTCACTTTGTTACTCACCAGTACGTGTCAAGGCAGCTTTACATAAACTATTTGTTTTGATAAATGTCCTGCAGACATGTTCAGGTACATTTAAACTTGCATCATACAATTTCAAACCGCTTAAATTCAGGATCATAGGTAATTGAATTTCATGTTTGAACACAAACCTCAACAAATGGAGCTCATTACAAGGATCAAGGCAAGTACACATAAACCTATTCCTTTGTATAACTTTTAAGACTGTAACCAGGACTGATATATCCTTGGCACAGTACTGAAAACTATTGTAAGGCTGTTATTCATTATTGGACTGTTTGTCTGTGGTTATTGCATCACTGTGTAAAACACTTAATAAGAATATGAGGGGCAATAATGAGGGACCTCAAGGAGTTGCATGATTCAATAAATAGAAGTCAGGTTAAAGGCAACTCTAAAGGCTGAAATACTTTCTGCTTAAAAAGGCTGTTAGCTGATAAACAGCTGGAACACATCAGGAGTTTGAGGGCTTTAAAATCAATAAGATAAAATATTGCAGGTAACTGTGATCACGTTCTATATGGATAAAGTTGTCTAAACTATGTTTTAATTCTGCAAGCATATGACTATATTTCTGAAACAAGATAAAGAAAGAAAGTAAAGGTCATCACTTATAACTAAAGAGCAAAATATTGATATTGAGGTTTTTTGGATGTTTTTTGTGGTTTCCATGCCAATCAAAAGATTTCTACCACACCTACACATGCAGTTTTATTTCCACCAAAGTTCGAAAGAGCTACAAGTTACAGGGACTTCTCTTCAAGGAACTAAATGGTTCCTGTGGCCCATTTCCACCACTGCCTGAAGTCCTGGGAAGATTATGCAAATCAGGCTGTATTACATTTCAAATTGATTGACAATGGAAAGGAGACGAGTGCTGTGTTTAGTGTGTCATTAAAAAGGAAAGCATATAAGGGAAATGTTAGAAGAATAAGAACTGGATACTACTACGGTGGCCCTGAAGTGCAAAGCACACCGACTAATAGGCAAACACACAAGAAATAAGAAAACAACGACAAATAGACAAACACAGAAATAAGAAAACACAACAAGAAATCACAAAACACACAAGAAATAAGAAAACACAACGACAAATAGACAGACAAACAAAAAATTAGAATTAAATTCTAGCGGAAAAGGTAGGTACCAGCGGTCTACAAGGATCGTCACTGATTCGACGAACCCATTGTCTTTCTTTTTTTAACTGGAAGGATATGCTGCTTTTGCGTGTTGATTTCAAAACATGAGCGCAACTGGTGATTCAGACTTAGTCTCTACTGTACTTAAATTTCATGTGTGTTTGCCTATTTGTCGTTGTGTTTTCTGATTTGTAGTTGTGTTTTATTTGGTGTGATGGTCCTGACGGGTTCGGCCCTGAATTTTATAAAAAAATGTCCAGGTTGGTGGTTGGACCTTTAACTAAAATGTTTATAGAATCTTTTGAAAGGGGAACACTTCCACCAACTCTAAATCTTGCCCACATCTCCTTGATTTTAAAAAAAGATAAACCCTCAGATAGCTGTGCTTCTTACAGACCAATAAGTTTACTCGGAGTTGATAGCAAAATATTATCCAAGCTTCTGGCTCAAAGACTGGAGGAGGCCTTGCCCATCTTGGTTGGGTCGGACCAGACAGGGTTTATAAAAGGTAGGTACTCCCACTCCAATGTCCGTCGGCTACTGAATGTTATACAATTTTCACAAAATACAAAAAAAAGGATTCTTGCTGTTTCATTGGATGCAGAAAAAGCTTTTGATCGGGTGGAGTGGGAGTATCTATTTGATGTTCTTAACAGGTTTGGTTTAGGTTCTGGTTTTACTACATGGATTAAGCTCCTATATAGATCTCCGTCTGCAAGAGTTCTGGTAAATGGTTCAGTGTCTGAGATGTTCCCTCTGAATAGAGGCACACGCCAGGGCTGTCCCCTTTCGCCGCTTTTATTCGCACTTGCGCTTGAGCCTCTCGCAGAGGCCATTAGAACCCACCGTTTTTTTTCTGGTGTCACATTGGGAGACACAGAATACAGGATCTCGCTTTATGCTGATGATATATTGTTGTTTATTACTAATCCAGAGAGCTCCATGCCGGTATTGGAATCGATTATAAGTGAATTTGGCCAAATTTCAGGTTACAAAATTAATTATGACAAATCAGAGGCCTTGCCTCTCGGAGACTTTGGTGTCCCGGATACCCTTGTTAATTTTCCGTTCAGGTGGTCAATTTCAGGCTTTACCTATCTGGGGATTAGAGTATCAGCAGACATAAAAGAATTGTATAAACTCAATTTTATTCCAACTTTGAAAGCAGTTAAAAATGACATCAGCAGATGGTTTGATCTTCCTCTGTCATGGATGGGTAGAATAAGCTTGGTTAAGATGAATGTACTTCCCAGGATGTTGTACCCAATGCAAATGCTGCCACTTAAGATCAATAGAAGAGTTATTTTGGATATCGAAAGATCTCTTTCAAAATTTATATGGCATGGCAAGAAATCTAGGCTAAAGATGAAGACCTTACAGTTGCCAATAGACAGGGGGGGTCAAGCACTTCCTAACTTTCTGTATTACAATTGGGCCTGCCACGGCAGGATAATATCACGCTGGCTAAACCATTTTATACATCAAGGGGAGCCTCTAACAGATTCATGGTGCTGTTCCCCTCTCTCTCCTTTCAGTCTCCTCTCAACTGATGCTGGCGAACTGCCAGCAGATGTTAAAAACAACGCTGTCATGTTTAGCACACTTAGAATCTGGAGAGATATTACTAAACACATTGGCCGGAGAGGTTTTTCATCAGCATTACAACCTCTGACTCAAAATAAAGCCTTCTCTCCAGGTATAGGGAAAAGTATTTTCAATGACTGGTATTCAAAGGGTCTAAGATTTGTGGCTGATTTATTTCAAAATGGTGATTTTATGTCATTCAATCAACTCAAGACCAAATACAGAATACCAAATAGTCACTTCTTTGGTTTTCTCCAAGTTAGACACTTTGTCAAATCAGATCTGATTTTCCCCACTGATCAATCATTGTTGAGCTCAATTGAAAGTTTTCTTCTCAATTTTAGTTTAAATGCGCTCAACGACAGAAAAATAATTTCCCTTTTTTATGACAAATTACATCCTATTAATTGTGATAGGGTTGAGAGAACTAGGGAATTATGGGAAAGGGACTTGGAGGTTGAACTTAGTGCAGAGGCGTGGTCAGGTACCTTTGTTTCAGCTAGGAAAATCTTTACATGTAATCGACTCAAAGAGAGCCAATACAGAATATTACATAGACTTCAGCGAACACCACAATTTTTAAACAAAATGAGTCCTCAGATCTCCGCCCTCTGTGTGAAGTGTAAAAAAGAAGTAGGAACTTATTATCACTGTGTATGGCAATGTCCCTTAATATCCAGGTATTGGAAAAATGTTGCCCAGGAGCTTGGCTTAATTTTTCACAGAACAATAAAACTAGAGCCAGCATTGTTTCTCCTGAACTTACCTACGCAACAGTTCTCTCTATCAACAGGACAGCTCGTTCTAATGGGTAAACTTCTGCTCCTAGCGAGGAGATGTATTCTGTTTCAGTGGATTCAGGAGAAGCCTCCATCAGTTACGCAGTGGTACAGAGAAACATTTAAGGTTCTTCCTATGGAACACCTCAGTGCTAAATTAAAGGGCAATAACAACTTATTTTATAATATTTGGCAACCCTTCATAGATTATCTTCCCACTGATCTGGTTGGCTTATTGCAGAAAGGGTGCCCACACTTTATCTTCAAAAATACATCATAGTCATGTTTTTTCCCTTTGACATGTAATTTAGGTAGATAAGATTGTATCTGATATGATATATGTTATTACAACCCATGTATGTTATTATTATTTATTTTATTTTTTTTTTAAATATATATATATTTTAAAAAAAATATATATATATTATTCAGTAATTTGGTTACATCTGTGCTGTCTTGTTCTGTGCTTATGTTTAAAAAATGAATAAAATATATATAAAAAAAAAAAATCATTTTAAAATTGAATTTCTGAAAAATATAATGTAACATAATGAAAGATGTTTTTAATGGGAAAGAAAAACACAATTCCCGAAAATACTTTTGCTAAACCACACAAACAGATAGATTCTTTCTGTAGAAGTCAAACCAAAGTTTTTCAAATATTCATGAATAAGATTAAAATTTACTTTACTGATGTTTTTACACTCTGTCATGCAACACACACAGGCTGAAATATACACACACGCACAAACAGGATCCTATGGACATGCACTAATGGAGAGATGACAGAGTGACGGAGCGGCCCACAGCGGGCGCTCCTGAGCTGGAGGTGGGGAGGGGTTTTGGTGCCTTGCTCAAGGGCACCTCAGCAGTGCTCAGGAAGTGATCTGGCACCTCTCCAGCTAACAGACCAACTTCCAGATTTGGTCCGCACCGGTGACCCTCCGGTTCCCAACCCAGGTCCCTACAGACTGCCGAATAAGTTTATTCACTAAAAAAAAAAAAAAAATCACTTATATTAAAACTTAGATGAATAAAACAATATACAGGTTTTGAGTCCAGATTAGATTTCTGACTCTTCTTCTGTTCTTTGCTTTTCTATTTATTTGTATTTTTAGTTAAGATTTGTTCATGAAGTCATGCTTGGTCTGAAAAAGTGTGTTTTGTATGTACCTTTTTATAATTGTACCAGACTTTGATTATAAATAAAGGTGGGAGGAAACCAGTGTGGCGTGGGCTTCCAGCTGCACTCTTTTAAACACAATGGGTGATGTAAAACTCTGCTATGCCTGACCAATCAGAGACATTCAGCACTGTAGGGGCTGCATGCCCTGGCCTCTGAAGTCCCTGGACCTTTTGAAAGTACTACCTCCATAGCAGGGTCTTTTTTAGATCTTTTACCTTTAGAATTAAATTTAATAATAATTAATACTTTATTGATCCCGCAAGGGGAAATTTCAGTTTTTACACTCTGTCTAGCTAACATGCTACACAAAGTTGTGCCTTGCTCAAGGGCACCTTGGCAGTGTTCAGGAAGTGGACTGGCACCTCTCCAGCTAACAGACCACTTTCTGGACTCGGTCCGTGCTGGGACTTGAACTGGTGACCCTCCGATTCCCAACCCAGGTCCCTACAGACTGAGCTACTGCCACCCACCCTAGACCCTGGTTCCTGCGGTCAAAATGCACACAGTTCCCAAAAGAAATTTCCCCTCGGGAACAATAAAGGAAAGTTAAAGTTGAAAGGTCTGGGAGATAGTTCCTCTAGTCGAAAAGGGGCTTATGCCTCAAATATCTTTATATTCTTGAGTAAAAGAAAAAGATTCCTTAGCTCCTGTGTTTGGGAACATTCAGAAATGGATGTTAAATCAATAAAAAATGAGGATTTAGGTTGTTGCACATTCCTGAATAAAACTGGGCCAATACTAGAATTTACAACTGCTCCTGGATCATGTATCTGGATTCCTAGAATCCCTGATGTACCAACAGAAAACCAGCAGTTTCGTAACACAATGATTTCAACTGATCAACTGACCGAGTCCAAAGCATGGGAGAGAAATACAATTTGAAATCAAGCATTTTGTTAGATTCATAATCCAACTTCCTTTTTTTGATGAGTAACACGTTGATTTGAACAAAAAATAAAATGTTTTATTGAATCCTTTTATTGTATTCTGGTGGTTTCGTGTATGGCTGCTTGCAGGTTTCTACAGAGACTTTTAGATTCAACATGTAAGTGAATAAAAAATAACACAAGTGTTGTATCTTATTGACACTCAGTCCTACAGTTACACAACAACAACATCTTGAATTCTACTGAATGTTCCTGTTCATTCAGGATCTGTAACAAGGGAGCCTTTGCTGAGGATCTTCTGGATCAACTGAGCAGGAAGCCCCCCAGTCTCTCTCAGATCACGCAGTCCCGTCCAGTTTAAGACCAGCCACAGAATTAGAAGCCTTTTCCACTTCACCCTCTTCTTCAACCTCCTCTTCGTCATCTTCTTCATCCTCATCCTCATCTTCGTCTTCCTCCTCGTCATCATCATCATCGTCCTCTCCGTAGTCGTCCTGTTGGTTTCCGCCTCCGGATGCTAAGTTCTTCCAGTAAGCATCGTAGCCTCCTGACCCTCCGTCATAGTAATCGTCATCATCATCAGCACCAGCCTGGCGGCCGAATTTGAGCGTACGAGCTGCAGAGAACACACAGACGTTTCGGTTTGTAAAAGCTTCACTGTAGTTTCCAGCTATTTTTAGAATCAATAAAAAACAGTCTGAGCCTTTAAAAGATTCTTAACGGGATTCTAAAAATACTTTCAGGGACCACTTTTTGTTTTTAAACATCACAAAGCATTTATAATGAAGAAAAAAAAGAGATGGTCGCACGCTGAAGAGTGCTTAGCCCCGTGATTTGAACGCAAGTTTAAAAAAAGTAAGAGGCACACACTGGGGCTGATTTTAGTTAGTGACTTACTGTAAGGGGAGGTTGTAATAACGGCTGTTCAAAGACTCTTTGTTTTAGAAGAAGTGAAATAAATGTGTCCGTTTTACAACTAAGTACAGTGAAAAGCAACTCTGAGGACAACATCATTTTTATGGGAAATCAAAGTTAATTTCTCAGATGTCACCACTTTCTCACTCTTCCTGTTTCATCTTAAATAACCTGATTAAGCAGGAAAGTTGAGGCTGCTGCAACTTCCCCCTAAACCAAAGCTTTACTGGAAAAAACAACAACTTTCCATTGTTTCCTCGAGTTTTCTTGTGTAAAACTTACTTGACATGCTGAGATCTTTGGTCTCCTGGGTCTCGTGGCCACACTTTGGGCAGGGTGGTGCTTTGCCTTTTTCCTGTTTGAAGACCTTACTCTTGGCATGGTCGTCACAGTAACAGGCCTGAAGGGCAAGGGGTGAATCAAAATCATCACATGTAAACTTCAACATCACACATATTATCCTGACACATTCCTTCAGCTCTGTTTGGATAAACGAGGATCAAATACAACTGATCCGTCGTGTTTAGACAAGTATGCTCATCATTCATTATTGTGCATTTCTTTTCTTTTAACCACACGCTGTCCTTCTGCTTTGGATAATGTTCTACTTCTTCCCATTACTTTGTCACCATTTGGTAAGTTTGAAGGAAAAGATGACAGAAAAATCCATCCCATGTGAAGGCTGAATGATAATTCATTTTGTGTTTACCAACAGCTGTGCTTATGTAACTGTTAGGACCCCTTCATTTTGGCCTCAGGGATTTAAATACTTAGATCCCTTTGTACTTAGGTACAAAAGTTCCCTATGTACTTAGTACAAAAGTTCAAGTGCTCTTCTGCTCCAAACAGGATATGACAAAAATAAATCATAAAAATCCCTCATTCTACTACACATAACAAATTTTATATTCAGGTAGAAATCTGAGGCATCAACAGTGAGGTTAAGATTTATTTTGGGGCTTTTAGTCTTTATTTTGACAGGACAGTGGACAGAATACAAAATCATCAGGGAGAGTGAGTGGGTAATAACATACAGGATAGGAGCCACAGGTCGGATTCGAAGCCGGGCTGCCTGCTTGCAGGACTATAGCCTCTGTCTGTACATGGGGGCGTGACCAGACCAGTAGGCCATCTGGGCCCCACAAATCTGTTTTCTAACACACTACATGCTTGCTGATAGAAACTACCAGCTCCTTCATTATTATTATTTTTGAGATCAAAACTAACTATTAGTGAAGTGAGTCTAATTCTCACTATAGACTACTTATTTTAGGTCTGGCCATAGCTAAAACATTTTCTGTGTTAAGGTGGAATCCCTTAGATATCTCAATCTATGCTATAGCATAACTCCTTTGACTGTACACAAGTGTTCATACCCTGTAAGATATTTTATTTTTTTAAGATTTATTTTTGAGTCAGAAATCAGAGAGAGAGAGAGAGAGAGTGGGGAATGACGTGCAGGAAAGGAGCCACAGGCTGGATTCGAATCTGGGCTACCCACTTGGAAGACTACAGCCTCCATACATGGTGCACACACACTAACCACCGCGCCACCAGCGCCCCACCCTGTTTTGTATACATGTATATATTTTTTTGTCTGCTTTTTTTCCCCTCTCTCTCGCTTTTTTTCCCTGTTTTTCTGCTTGTTTGTTATTTATGTCTTTAATGGATCATCACGTGTGATAACTTGGCCTATTGCTCACCCTTACACACCACGGACAATACAGACATATAATAAGATGTTAGAGATCATGGAGTCTTGTCTAAGTAAAGTACGTCCTGCTTTGAAGAGGAAGATGGGGTTGGGTGGAGCATGCTTGGTGGCAGATTTGACTTCATTTTGAGAGTCAGTATTCTTTTATCTTATTGGAACACTCTCTGGCTCAAACTCAGGCAAGATTGTCTGTCTTTATCTTGAGTTGCAATTACACACTTCCTGAAGAACTGATTACAAGAATATTTCCTGCTGTGGAGGACAGTACATGTAATGTGAAAAAGAGAGGGGGAGAATCCCATTTGATTTGTGTCTCATCTTTAAGAGGTTGTTGTTGTTTGGCCGAGGAAACAATTTAAGATGTGAGCTGATGGTATGGGTGTAGTTTTTAATGAAGTGTTAGTTCTGCCCAGTGAGCAGATAAATCTGTCTGTAAAATCTCTTCTCACCTTACAGCGCAGGCAGGAGTGTTGTCCCAGTCTATTACAGGAAACACCTAAATTGGAATGTAACCAAAAACCAAATCATGATCACCTTTCTGCACACATACCCTGAAGATATCATTCTGTGGGATGAATAGGACTCACTTTACTTCCCCCATTAACCACAATCTGTCATTGTGAAAGGAACATTAAATTACCCACATTTGTATGTTTCTGCCTGAAGGACTTGGCAGCTCGCCTGGTGCTCAAACTGATCATCCTCGCACAAGGAGTTCTGACAGAAAGAACAGCGGAAGATTCTCCCTCCTATTCAAGAAGTTCAAACAGTCAGTGATGCTCTTCAGTGTGACACAGAAGTTACTTTTTTTTATAGTGAACTTAACACATGGGGGAGGGGATGGGGGGAGGGGGGGGTCTCACCATGTTCCCAGACACTGCGTTCACACTCGATGCAGTCGGAATCAGTCAGGGGACACACACAGGCGTGCGTGCTCAGACATTTCCTGCCATGGCACACCCAAGCTTCACAGAAGTCACACACTGCCCCCTTGTTGTCAAGATGAAAATTACACAGAAAACAAGTTTGCATTGTTATTTATCTATTTTTATAAAATCCACTTAAAGCCACCTAAAGAGAAAAATAATGTATGGGACAGCGAGTTATTTTAAACTCTGAAACATACTTTGTTTGATTGTAATGACTCCTCACTGAGCTGTCAGCATGACATAACTTCTATGACCTCTATAATTCAATAACACACTATTTTATTAGATCATAATCTGATAATATTTGGACGGCATGTTTCCTCACCGTCATAAGAAGTCAGATAGTTAGTGTAATAAATATAAGGCCCTGGTTGTACTTGCATCATTTTGCAATACACAAAGTACACAATTATGACACTGAGAAATAATTCTTTCTGGTTATTATGGACAACAGTGCTGAATACTGATGGCACATGTAGAATCTAAGTTATGTTTGTGTTAGCAAATGTTGTTAAAATATCATTCTTTTAATGGTTGATCATTGATAACCCTTTGTTGTTTTGTTTAAGGACTTAGACTCAACAAAGAGGTCTCATAAAACAACATTTCAATCCCATACATGTCCCGTATGGATATCGGCCGATATTAGCGTATCAAGTGACTATCAGCGTCGGATTATTTTATCACAGACATGCACCGATATGACTAGATTTATTCACTTGTAAAATAGCATTTCATTTGAGTTTCATTGTATTACACTAGCTAGCAGTTCTCTGTCACCAGCAGAGGGCGCTAAATGAATTAACACAAGTACCGTATTATCACTCAGTATCACGATGTAAAGCGGTGATGCACAGGCATGCACATTTGCCGGCACTCCAGTTTGGTGACCATCTTGTCTTCTTTATAATGTATATCTTTTTGCACAAGTGTTTGATAACTGCATTTGAGGGATCAACAAAATAAACATGTATATCTATCTATGAACATAGATCAAAGAAAGATATCGGCCTATTTATCAGTATTTGATTTTTTCTCTTCCCAATATTAAAATCCATATCAGCCCCAGAAAATCCACATATCGATCAGGCCCTAGTACAAACAGCCAAAAATGTCATATTGGTTTGCAATCCTATTCCACTGCACACTCATTTTAATAGATTTTTTTATGTTTGAACAGTGAACATGCTCATTCACAGTCAAATAACTTTTACGTTTCACATTCAAAAATGTCTGGGGTTAAGAAAGGAGGCATAAAACACACACACGTCAGGATAAATTCAAACTTCATGAATAAAACACATATATGTACTGCAGCTTCTTTTTAATTTCTACCACAAATTAATGTCCAAAACAGGATTTTTATGTGCAGAGGGGTTACCACTCAAAGAGTCAATTTAAATCATTTCTAACTCACCACCATGGCCATTCCAGTAGTGTGGATCCCAGGATGTCTGATGACACAATCTGATGACTTCATGCATTTGGTTTTTCCTGGCAACACAAGAAAAAGAAAATTAAATGCCATCATTCAGATTATTTTAATGTTCAGGTTTTATTCTCTTAATCTCATAAACAATCAATAATAAAGTATATCAAAAAAGAAATGACACTGTTGTCTGCCAAAGTGTATTTTTTCATACCACCACTTGGGGGCGCCAGAGTACAAACGATAAAGTACCTCTTATAGCATATAAATATGTAAGACATTTTATTGCAGTTAACTTACCACACTGTGCGCAGACAGGCAGTTTCTGTACTGAGTTACAGAAGTAGCAGAAAGCCCGGTTCTTCTGTTTTCTACCAGGTGACATCACAAACAGGTTTAATTGGTTGACAGACTAAATATACCATATAAAAATGTCATACAACGATGTAATACATTTACTAACCTCTGACATTTGTCACATTCCTGGAAAACAGAAGACAACAAAGACACGATTACAGTAGTCAAGAAAGGAAACTTTAGAAGGTACACAAACAGTAGAGAAAGACTATGGAACATTTTCAAGCGCACAAGCGTGCTGCTTAATTGCAAATACAAAACACAAAAATTAATAATAATAATAATAATAATAATACATTTTATTTATAACGCACTTTACATTTGAAGGAAAATCTCGAAAATTGTGTAGAAAGGCCAATTTCAGAATATAGTTTATAATTTCATTGGATTATGATTAGTGGCACATTGAATTTCATCATGTAGCTGTTAAATAATATGAAATTATATTTGATATTCATATATGTACCCCTTTTACAGACGAGGGATCCCTCTTCTTTTGCTTTTCATGAGCTTTTATTCATTATATCGCACATTTTTTATTTTATTTTTTTTAATGGGGGTGAGTTTTTTCTTTGTAGAACTGAGGCTCTTATAATGATAGCTGCATATGCTGCCCATACTCCAAAAAGCCCCTCAGGTATATAAGCTATAGCCTACTTGAACAAATTGCTTTTTGTAGCAGTTTAAAGTAGCACAAAATGAAAGTTATTGAGTAGATAAACTCAAATGAGTCTTTATATCTGTCGTCACTGCCCTGGTGTATTGGCTGTAGTGACTACATACCATGGTGAAGTTGCAGGGGTGTTTGGCCACATCGACATGCTCCCGGTTGGCTCGACTCTGTTTCTCTCGCTCCTTGCGGCTCTCGGCCTTCTTCCGGGCCCCGGTTTTCTTTTTTGGCATCTCTTCAACCAGACAAAAGAAAAAGCTTGTTACAGGTTTCCTGCAAACACAGGGAACAATTAAGTGCAATTCTGGACAACAGGTAAAGCTGAGGTTGATTTAAGTTATTTTCAGTGTTTCATTTGATTGTATTTCAACATGAATAAAATCAGCCTGGTTGACTCTAAATGTGACGATTAACGAATCCGATGATTAACGTGAATTCATCATTTAAAAAAAAACTGTTTAGCATTTGGTAAGCTATCTGTTTCATCATGAGACAGTAAACGACACGTCGCGTCGCCTGCTAAGAAAACTAACGTGAGTTATTACTGTTCATGTGTAATAATGAGGTTGTTAAGTATTTATATTAATAATCCTGTATGTTACATCAAAGTGTCATTTAAAACGAATGTGTTTGATTTGCATGTCTTTACCGAAATGGTCAGCACTCCTCCGACAGCTTGTAGGTCCGGTCTGGATATCTGGCCGGGTTGAAACATGCTACTAAAGCTTTGGTTCCTACTTTTTTCTTTTTTCCCCGTGATGTAAATTGAAAAAAAAAAAGTAGGCTGCTGATGTTTGCAGTCAAAATAAGGTTTTGTCTAAATAAAAAGCAGCTTGTTTTGAAAACAAATCTCATTAAATTAGCCTATATCTTATTAAATTAAAGCAATTGTACTTCATTAAGAGTTCAGTCAAGTTATAAAGCAATTTACTGCATGTGTTTACTCAACATTTTAAACACTTGTTGTAGCATTCAGTATATCGTTTATCCATACTCATTTTACAACAGTTGTTACTGAACGCTGTTATTTCTTAAGGTATATTATATTTTATTAAATTAAATACATTTTATTTTTGATCCAAATCTCTTAACTATGCTTATCCCAAATCCAGTTGATTTAGAAAGATGATTTTTTGGAAATCATCACGTTCATTTGAATGCATTATTTGGCTGTTTATGATTTATGATTGTTTCAGTTTCTTCCTTCTCCGCGTGCCACAGGGCGTCAGATACCTTGGCCACGCCCAGGTCACGTGCCACTGAGCGGTAATCCAATCATGAGCGAGGACGGGAAACAGCTGACGGTGAACAACAACAGAGAACAGACAGCGCCGTCTTCTCCTGCAGGAGGTGTGTAGTAGACTCCTGCACGTAGCTCACAAACTTCAGGGACACCTCCTCTATAAGAGCTGGTGTCTGTCTCCGGCTGTGATGCATGTTTAACACTTTATTCTTCCACCACCTGTAAAAAAAAAAAGAGGGAAGTGGCACGAGCCTTCCGGTGAAGACTCGAGGAGCTCCGGAGCTCGAGCTCCGTCCATCCCAAACCAGCCGCACAATGGCCCCGTCCCTCATCCGAGCTTGCCGCAGTCTGGCTCTCTCAACGTGGCTGCTGTCGTTCTGTTTCGTCCACTTGCTGTGTCTGGACTTTACTGTTGCAGAGAAAGAAGAATGGTACACGGCTTTTGTCAACATCACCTACCTGGACCCCGTCACATCGGAGGTCAAGACGGAGAAAACCGAGTGCGGGCGCTATGGTGAGCACTCCCCTAAGAAAGAAGCAAGAGGTCTGGTCCTGGTGCCGTCCGTGCTGCAGGACAAGCAGGCGTGCGACCCCAACGTCAGGTTCCCGCCTGTCCCTCCCAACAACGCCTGGATAGCGTTGGTGGCTGCGGGGAACTGTACTTACCGGGAGAAAATCCGTAACGTTGCAAACCTCAACGCCTCTGCGGTAGTCATATACAATGTGGGCTCCAGTAGCACCAACGACACCATCACAATGCCCCATCCAGGTAAGAGTCAACCTGTCAGCGATGCGAGATCTTTTCAACATGATTGCTGCTGTGCCGTCGAGTGATGGAGGCCTGATAAAACGCCCTCAAATGTCACTAAGTATAGTTGCTTCATTAGGTGTGGGGCATCTCTGGTCGAAGTGAATGGGTTTCATTGTCCCTCGAGTACCAGAGCTCCGCTTGCAATCAACGAAATAATCAATACGTTCGGTGGCGTGGTAGAAAAGTGTTCTGGCTCTCTGACGAATGAGCTGATTATCTGAATCCTGCAACTGGCTGAGGATGTTGCTGAAGTTTATTTTTCTTTCATTAAATGTATTTGAAGCCATTATATAGTGTTCATGCATGTATAAAATAGTAAATGAGGTCTACTTTGGTACCTAAGAGAAAGCACCATATGTTTTTTTTTATATTACCTTAAAAACATTCTTTTTCAAACGCTGTCATGGTGATGGACCTGACCATATAACTTGTACCAGTTTTGGAAGTGATCTATTTGTTGCCACACAGAGCTACCAATTACTATCTATTAGAGCTCTACTGTATACTTCTGTAGGCGATACTCAAGGATACAGGCTTAATGTTTTAAAAACACAAAACTGAACGGGAACTTTCTGTTAAAATGTATTTGCTTCATTTATTTTGAATTCCTAGCCAAATCTTGTGTATGCATTGTCCACTCTTAAACAGGAAAGAGAAGGAATAACCAGCTTCTTGTTGAGGAATGCACAAAGTCTAAAAAATCTTTATAACACATGCAGGTCAAGGCACTCACAAACGGGTGAACCAATCACAAAGATCAATATGAATGCCAAATATTTGAATTGCAGCACCATGTGTCTAGTCTCCTCTTGCAGAGTTTACCTTTGTGCTGTATTTGTGCAAACACCGAACAAACAATGTTCTGATAGTGCTCTGAATTTATAACCAAGTGATAAACAATGACAGAGTGTGAACAAGCAGAGGACACCAATATTTTTCACAAACTGTGCCAAGAAACACATTTAGAAATGGCCCTCTGCTTGATACCCATAGTCTCCAATTTGAATATGAAGTAATTAATAAAGAAAACCACTGTATCCAAACATGAGCAATGAAATCAGATGTTGTTGACAAGCCCATAGGCTGCAATTGCAAAGTTAAATGTCTCATTTAAGACAGAGGTTTTATTTCCCTTTGACTTGGGGCACAGTCAATACACTGCTAAAGTACACACTTGTTGAAGAACTGGTGTCAATACATAACCATAACCTTTTTCTTGACTCTATTTGCCAGAGGCAGAGCAGGCATGTGCATATAGATATCTGGACAAACCCTTTGCTGTTTGAACAACTTTAAGTACCTCTTGATCACATAAAAGAAAATATGTAAGCTAAAGGGTTACTAACAAAGATGTGGACACCTTTGCCTTTGGTTAATTTTTCATATTAGACAAAGAAAATATTCAGTTCAACCAGAGAGCTCATAGAAAAGGTTATTACGTAACCGCAGTGATTGCTCTTCATTGTATTTTAGGAGCAGCTGCAATAAGAGAATACAGAGTCACAGTGTGCATGTACATGATCTAGGGATGTGATTTCTCTCATGTTTCTGCTTTTTTCACCTTTAATATTCTTCCGTAAGCCACAGCATTTTTCTGTCACTTTTCTGGAGCCAAAATCTAGATAAAAAGGCAACTTTTCGCCCTGACTTTTGTATTTCAGACCGCATATATATGTCAAGGGGTAAAGCCAACCTTGCTATTGGTTAAAATATGAAATACAATTTAATATTTTTTGCATAATATACTAATATTGAGCATCAAATATAAATAGGAAAAGCACAGAGATCTTTCCGGTATACATGCAAATTCAACACTTCAGAAGGTACACAAACAGTAGAGAAATCAGGTCTCTATAAAGGAAACTAAATAATAATTGTAAAAGGGACTTTTGCTTGTTTTGTATTTTTGACATAGATGACACTGTAAATTCTAGATCATCAGTTTCTATGTTATTATTATACTCCTCTTCAGCACATATAACTGCTGACATATGGGTGTCACTTCTGCTTTGTAAAGAAGCGTTCCTCCTTTTACTTATTTATTCCTGTAGTAAAGTCAGATTTATTAACACCTGTAGTATAGTAGTACTTAGTACAATTTGAATACACCGCTTTCTTCAGAGTTGGCTGAGCTGTAGGGGAGATGTAAATTTTTTGTATTTAAGGTCAACTCTTTAGGCTAACCCTCTTTCTTTCCAAGTGCACCTTTTTCAACAGATGAGGTTTATTATTTGATAGCGTACACACTGACAAGCTGTCTTCAGTTTATGAGCAGAGCCTCGTTTTCCACTTGACTTGTGTTTCCATTGGAAATGGGCTCACAGCAAGTTACTGCTTTTCATAAAGGTGCGGCCAAGCAGACAACTACACCTGTGCCAGACAACAGCACAATGCATGAAGGCAGAGCAGACATAAGGCGCTATACAGAAACAGATGTTTGAGTAAAAAGCATACAACACCTGGCCGCATAATGGTCAATTGATTACGAGACGATTAATAACCAAAAGATTTTTTTTTTCACACAGAAAAGCCAAAGAAACCTGCCATGATAAAAACAGATGATCTTAGTTCAATGCAAAACTCTGTGAGCTTTTACTCAAATGTAGTGATTTGTTTTGTTGCATCACCTGGGAAAGCTGCAGCATTCAGTTGCTTTTTACGTGTTTAAGCATCAGCAACATATCTTTATACACCTAACATTTAAAGCACCTTTTATCAGGCAGCTGTTCTCAGCACTTTACATGGATGCTAACATTGCTCCATGTCTTCTAGCTGTGTTAGTAAGTTGCTAACAAGTTTGACAGAGCTTGCAATTACGCTGTCATTGTTTGTTTTTAAAACGTGCTGTTCCTCCTTGTTTAGCCAAAGATTTCAAATCAAACGGGTTTAAATGCAATCTTTGCTACTCGTAAAAGAAAACTGAATCGACTTGAGAATTTTCTCTAGCAGATGAAACTGAAACATCCCCGAAGAAAACGTTGTCTTAGCCACTGTGTCACAGTCAGTTGCATCAAATAAAAAACATCACAAAATATGAGAAGCGTTCAAGTCAAAGCTAGACAGTTGGTTCACAAAAAAGATCATGAATACACAAAATGACATTTTGCTTTACATTTTATATCAACAACATGGTCAACAACAATAAACGTTAGCATTGCACCCTGTTCTGTTGAACTCATGTTTAGCAAAGCAATTAAATGGAGGCTGAAACAGACAACAGCATCGAGGGGTTTGATTAACACATAGCACCTTTTCTTACTCATGGCTGACATCTATATTAAGAGAAGAGGGAATGTAATAAGTCCATATTTATTGTTGTTGTTTATTTTTTACAGCTCTTTCACTTGAAATGTAATATTTTCTATTAACTATAGCTGTTTTTACTTGAGCTAATGGTTTTCTTGTCTTTTTGTTGAAGGGTTGTGTTGACCATTAAACTTCCTCCATCCTTCCTGGAGATACAAACAAATGCTCCAGTGCACATCACTGGACACATCACTTTTTTCAAGACCTGACCTGCTTCAAGCACTCACATATATATAAACTTAAACACTATAAGAGACATAAATGGCTTGCAGGAGAGGTGTGATGACAAAGCTGGTACAGGACAGTACAGTAACAGGATACAGTGACAAAAAACATGGCTTT